AGTTGCCTGCCGCCCGTGGCTGGCCCACAGCTCTGGGTGGCAGGTTTTCTCTCAAGGCATCCGCGGCGCACGATCGGAGCTCATCCACATCAAACGGGGGTGAGCCGAAGAAATCAACGTCGCTGCTCGACGTCACTGCCACCGCATCTGACACGCGATCCCTGGCCAGAAGCGGAAAGCGATCAAGTTTTTTAGCCGCGCCCGAGCTGCCGACGAGGGAGCCAAAATGGCTGTGGTTTCCGTCCTGGGAAAACCTCCCGCGGCAGCTGGGCTTCAAAATGGACTGACTGACTAGGCGTATTAGCTGATAAGCTTGGCGGCGGTGGCTCATCACTCAGAAAGTATTCACGGGTTTGCTGGCCAGCAAACTTCAGCGCCTTCCGCGCTTCTCGGGAGGCGATCGCACCTTCGGACTGCACCAGTTCGGGCCCGCATGGGCCAGTTCGATCTTGGCGATATCCTCCTTTATCTCCTGCAAAGACATTGGCTCCTGCTTCGGCTCCTCCTGCGGCGGCTGCGTGTCGGGAACCTCGATGACCTCCGCTGTGAAGCTGACGGCTGGTCCTGGCATGTACTCCGCCTGCGTCATCGGCTGCGTCGGCGACAGCTCGTCCACTGGTGCGAGCCTCTCCCTTTCGGGAGTCTCTCCATCCTTCATCTTCATAACGTCCTGGTAGGGGTCCTTGGTTGGCGCCTTCGGCGTGGCTGCCGCTGGCGAAGATAGCGGCGACCTGCATCCCCTCTTGATGGTGGAAGCCTCCGGCGTGCTCGGCACTGGGGCGTCGGTGCCCATGATCGGCGTCGCGGGAGCAGGCGTCGAAGGCGCAGGGGGCCCTGCTCCACCACCCCCCGAAAGAAAAAACTGTCCACGTCCATCTGCCGCTCCTGCTGCATCTGGTACTGGCCCTCCTGGTACTGGAACTGCGACCGCTGGTACACCGCCACCTGGTACTGGAACTGCTGCCGCTGGTACTGCTCCACATGGTACTGGAACTGCTGCTTGCACTTGGGCCCCTGCTGCTGCCTGGGCCTGCTGGTACATGTACTCCTGGTGCAGAGCTGGATGCATGGCTGGTGGCATCATCGGCGCTGCCGCTGGAGGCGCCGCATGCGGGCCTCCCTCTGGCTGAGGGGCCGCCTGCTGCGGGTAGCCACCTGGGGCCACCCCTGGCGCCTCCATGCCCTGCTGGTGCATCTGCTGTTGCATGGGCTGGTAGTACTGCTGCTGGATCTGGAACTGCTGAACGACCTGGCGCTCGAATTCGTTCTGACGATTGGCCACGCCAACCAGCAAGCCCCTGAGCTCGTTCACCTGATCTCCCTGCAGCGGCGGCGGGGGCGCCTGCTGGCCAGCTTGGTGCTGCGGCGGCTGCGCATGCTGCTGCGGCGCGCCACCAAATGCACCAGCTGGCGCCTGCTGCTGATGGGCCGCGTCTGCGAGGTGCTCTTCTTCCTGCTCCTCCTCCTCCTCCTCTTCCTCCTCGTCCTCCTCCTCCTCCTCTTCCTTCTCCTCCTCCTCCCCTCCTAGTCCTCCTCCTCCTCCTCCTCCTCATGCTCCTGCTCCTGCTCCTGCTCCTCCTCCTCTTCCCCCTCCGCCACTTCCTCTTATTCCTCCTCCTCCTCCTCTTCCGCCTCCTCCTCCTCCTCCTCCTCCTCTTCCTCCTCCTCTTCCTCCTCCTCTTCCTCCTCCTCCTCCTCCCTCCTCCCCCTCCTCGTCCTCCTCCTCATCCTCCTCCTCTTCCTCCCCTCCCTCCTCCTCCTCCTCATCCTCCTCATCCTGGTCCTCCTCCTCCGCCTCCATTTCCTTTACCTCCTCCTGTCTCCTCCTCCTCCTCCTCCTCCTCCCCCTCCTGGTCATCCTCCTCCTCCTCCTCCTCCTCCTGGTCCTCCTCCTCCTCCTCCTCCTCCTCCTCCTCCTCCGCCTCCCCCCCCTCGACTCAGCCTGCGCGCGAACATGGTTGTCCGCGCCACATGCCACTTACGCCACCGCATGGCAAGAGCCAGAGGCGGGTGGCGCCCCCCGAACAGTGCCCAGAAAAGAAAGGCGAGGCCAGCGCACAGGCTGGCAGACTGGAAGCCGCGCATCACTGCGCAGCGCTGCTGGAGAGCGGCTGCGCCACTCCTGCACGGATCAGGGAGGCCGTGCGCAGCGGATCCACGAGGTACCGCCACACCCGATTGACCTGGAAACGCGCAGGCGCACGCGTGAGGCCCGAGAGGACTCGAGCACCCCACGTGCCTGGTGCAGGAGGGCCTCGACAACCCTGTGACAAATTCGCAGAGATCTTGACCCCTCCCAGCCCGCGCACAACACACACAGTACACCACAGCCTCCGCCCACCGTCCCCAACAACGGCGAAGGGGTGCATAACATGCGGTCTCTCATCCGCAAGCTGCACCCGTACAGAAGCCAGGTCTGCTCTCGACAAGCTGCGCGGCGTGACTGGCGGCGGGGGCTCCACCACCACCCTTGGCACAGGGCAGTCCACTGCGCCTGAGCCACGAGCCTTGCGCTGCCGCCGAGGGACATGCTCACAATCAGAATCGCACATCCGAGGCCCAATGCGCGCAACCCAGGAGGCCCACTGAGAGAGCACGAGGGCCTTGGCTTTGCGAACACGGCGGAGCTCAGGGTCTACGCGGGCTCTCGAGGCCACCCACTGAGCCCATTCATCAGCATGCGCGTTACCCTCTTTTTCAAAACGAGTCGAAAGTCCAGTCTGGATGCGAGCTTCGGTGCAATGGCCTTTGACTTTGCGCAGGTCGACACACTCGATGCCGCCCCAGTCTTCGATGCGGCGCCAGACCTGAACCCATAGCTCAGACCAGGCAGCACGCGAGGAACAACAGTACACCTTGCCACGCTGGTAAACTCCATCGTGGACGAACGCAGAGTCGGTGTAAAAAATACTGCCAGGAGCGCTATGCTGCAACGCACGGTTGAAGGCGAACAGCTCTGCACAGTCAACATCTCGGCACGCCGAGTGGAGAGTGCCACACATCACCGACATGACCTTGTGCGGATGGTGGGGCTGCACGCTGACAATGGCCCAACCAACAGCCTGAGATGCTGGCGGCAGATGCTGGTCCATCCAGCTGGCATCGAGAAACATATGGCCTGCCATCTCGGTGGGTCCTCCGCCGGACCACCGATCAGGGAGGGGATTCGCAGGAGGAAGGGGGGCCTCGGGGACGAGGAGCCTCTCGGCAAAGAGGAGAGGAAGAGGATCCACGCACGCCCTGACAACTGAGGTCAAAAACTCAGGCGGGACCTCCTGTGCCATGAGGTCATCGTGGCCCGCACAACACGCATGACGATGCAGGAGCGTGCCAGGGGCCTGCTGACACGTACGGCAAAGGGGGTCGGCGGTGTACTGCGCAAGCCACTGACGATGCTGAGGCCACTGCCCCCCAGCAACAACACTGCTGAGGTAGGCCTTCTCATCGTGTCTGAGACCATTAGAGGCTAAAAGGGACTGCAGAGGCTGCAAATTGCACCCAAGAGAAAGCTCAGGAACACCTTCTCTCGAGGCCACTTTTTCCCAGAGCCACTGCAACACCACTTGATGAAGCCACTTGCGGACGGTGCGAGGCCCTGACTGCACGACAGAGACCTCGCCATGCCGAGGATGAGACCACACAAAGCCTTGCATGCTGATGCCCAGGCGCACAGCTGTGGCAACACACGCAGAGAAAGGGCCACGGATGCTGGCCCAAGGATTGCCGTGATCAGTGAGCCTGACAACAGCGTCTCGCAATCCTTGCTCCAGCATCGCTCGTGGGTGCAATAGCTCCCACGCCGCGGTGGCATACTGCAAAAGGGGAGCACACTGCAGCTCGTATGCAGGGTCAATCTGACGACGTTCACTGAGCATGAGCAACAGCGTCACACTCTTGCCATCGAGATTGTTCGCCTGCACTCTGGCCTGCAGCATGCGCGCTTGTCTGAGGTCTGTGCCAGTGGTGCCCAGTACCTTGCACCCGTAAGTGTGAGAGGACAGTGCTGCGCTGCGGATCATTGTGCGCAGCTGCCGCTTGCAAACAAAAGGCGACAGGGCCAGCAACTTGCGTGCTCGGGTGACAGCTGTTTTTTTTCTGCTGGCGCCTCCTCCCCCTCCTCCTCCATTCCTTCCTCCTCTTCCTCCTCCATTCTTTTCCTTGTAAACAGCTTCCCCATGTCGCACACCGAGGCTCGTTTTTAGGGCGGGCTGGGCGTTCCGCTTGACTTGTTTCACCACGTATGATCATGATGCTTCAAAACTGACGACAGTGTCACACATTGAGGGCGAATCGTTTTCAAGATGTGGCTCTCGCGTTCGCGCCGCGCACAGCCGTTTTGGCACGTTGCAAGAGCTTCACGGATTGAGGGCGACCCGTTTTCTAAATGTGGCTTCTGCCGTAGCTCCGCACACATTATGTTACAACGATTTGCAAGAGCTTCACGGATTGAGGGGAACCCGTTTTCAAAATGTGGCTCTCGCCTTAGCGCCCCACGCATTTGTTTAAACACATTGGCAATGCATTCACAAAGTGAGGGCGGCTCCTTTTTCCGAACTGTGGCTCCAGCCTTAGCGCAAATTCGTTTAAACGTTCGCAAGCTACTCACGGATCCCCATGACCAAAGTACCAGAAATTGTGTGTTGGAAGGATCTCATATTATGAAGGCGCTACAGTTACGTTCGTTCGCGGTGTTGATGTCCTAGGAATGTGTTGGCATGCTTCAGGGTTCCCATACGTTGTTTCCAACGGTGCAGATTCCCAATGGACATGAACCACTGTGGGGGGCCTATGAAGGAGGAGTTTGGAGGGAATGTGTTTTCCAACATCGTTGATGACTCTTGGGTTTACACCGGTCGTTCCCCTTCTCCTCCTCCTCCTCCTCCCCCTCCTCCTCCTCCTCGTCCTCCACTTCCTCCTCCTCCTCGACCTCCACTTCCTCCTCCTCCTCCTCCTCCTTCCCCCCTCCCCTTCCTCCTCGAACGGGAAACTTGGCGGGCGGCCTTGTCCCGCTCCTCCGCCAGCCTGGCGGCCTCGAACAAACGCGCCAGGTCCGCAACGAAGGAGCTCGGGGGCGCGGGTGCGGGGCGCGGCGAGCCGCCCCGGTCGCCCTGCGCCGCGGGCGGGGGCGCGGGCGGGGCCCGGGGGAGGGCGGAAGGAGGAGGGTGGAAGGAGGGGGGAAGGATGGAGGGAGGGGGGGGAGGAGGGGGGAGGGAGGAGGGGAGGGAGGGAGGGAGGGAAGGAGGAGGAGGGAGGGATGGGGGAGGAGAAGGACGACGATGATGATGATGATGATGATGATGATGATGATGATGATGATGATGATGATGATGATGATGATGATGATGATGATGATGATGATGATGATGATTCTCCCGCCCCGCGCTTGCGATCGAGTTTCGCATGGGCTCCGCGGCCAGCGCGCGTGGGGGGGGGGCGGCAGAAGGCCCGGGCCCCCCGGCCGCGCGAGCCAGCCGAGGGGCGCCGCTCAGAGATGGAAATACCCTGCGCGCTGAAGAGCACGCGCAGCAAGTTGCGCCGCTAGCCGCTAGCCCTGGCAAAGAAAAAGCGGAGCGAGGGGGGGGGGCGCGAAGCTGCAGAAGCCCAGACGGGCGCGCGGGGGGGAAATAAGAGAACGCATTATCCCGCCCCGCGCTTGCGATCGGGCTTCGCGCGGAGGCCGCGGCCAGCGCGCGCGCGGGGGGGGGGCCCGAAGAGCCCGAGCTCCTCGGCCGCGCGCGCGCGGGCCGAGCGGCGCCGCTCATGGAAGGAGATCTGCCGCGCGCCAAAGAGCACGCGCAGCCGCGCTCATGCGCCAAGCACTCGCGCAATGACCAGGCTGTGGCGGGCGGCCGAAATACGCGCGGACCACGCAGAAGGGCCCGCGGCAAGGAAGGAGGCGACAAGGCGGTCGCTTGCAGCAGCGCAGCGCGCAACGCGCGAACGGTCTAAAGCAGGAAGGGCGGACGCCCAAGGCTGAAAGCAAATGGTTCCACTGAGAGCGGAAGCCGCAATGCCCGAAGGGCGCAAGCGGATCGGTGGAACACAACTGCTGGCACGCCAGTTCCAGAAGACCCACCTACCTTCCCTGAGCCCCAATCTGCCCCTTGCTAATATGAGGAGTCGTAGAGGGTTGGGCAAGGGACTTGCGGGCACGCCCACTCTGAGCCCAAGGGCACGGTGGCGAATATTAGGGCATCCGCATGCCAGGGTGAACTGCGGGACCAGAGGAGCTCCATTGACTCGCAGATTGCATATTTTGTTGACCACTTGCGGTGGGCTGCTACGCAGTCGTTCACGCTCGCCACCCGAGCACCGAGGAAACCGTGGCTGAATCAGGCAACGTGGACCTTAGTGCAACACTCCAACGCCCTTCGGAGCCTCTCGCGACGGTGGAGAAGAGCGCGGCGGACAGTGATCCTTAGTTTGGGCTTCCACCTCTGGTTGGCAATCGCCCTGAATCCAGACGATGTCAGACCCGTGGGGCCCATCGGAACCCCGCGGAGTCGGCAGCTTCGACCCAGACAGTGGACCTTCTTCGTCACCGTGGATCGTGCCACCCAGATATACCAGGCCGCAGCTACCCGATTCGACATGGAGTTAGCTCGAGCAGAGCAGGCGTTGCACCGTGCATGTACTCTCAAGCATCCCTTCATTCGGCGGGATAAGCAGAACGCACTACTCGACGCAGCTGACCGCGCGCAGCACGCCGCAGACATGCACGACCCTCGGGAGCTTTACAACATCGTGCGACGGCTGGCGGGCACTTCCTCGAAGGCCCTGGCCACGCTTACACACGAAGATGGTTCAGTACTGGACGCGTCCCAAGCTGTGATGGCCCGCTGGCGACGGCATTTTACGAACCTGTTCCGAGCCGGCCACGCGTCCCAAATAGAGGACGTCACGTGTCTGCCCGCCGGCGCCAAGCCCGATCCCCGCCCTGCTGCCGAGCCGGCCGGCTGCGCGGGCAACGAGGCCCGCAACCTCATCGAGGGCCTGGTCAACATCACGCCCCCCTAGCGGGCGTCGTCTTTCAATCCGACCACCAAGGAGATTTTCGTTGTCATCCAGTCCCTGGACGGTAGCAGCGGCGTCGGCGAGGACGCTTTGTCTGCCTTGATCGTCAAAACCAGGGGGTGGCATGCCGCCGAGATCATGAGCAAGATCATCCATGACATCATTTACGTCAGGCACGTTCCTTTGGTATGGCGCGGGGGCAAATTGGTGGTGATTTACAAGGGGAAGGGCATGGCCACGGACCCAGATAACTACAGGGGCATTTTGGTATCGGACCACCTTGCGAAGATTCTCACCTCCCTCCTGCAGGCGCACCTCAACGCTACGTATGAGAAAGCCGTGGGCGTGTCCCAATACGGGGCCGTAAAGCATCGGGGCACTGCGATGGCGTCGTTGGTGGTCCGATCCTTCCTGGACCTCTGCTCGGCGCGTTCTTGGAGCTGTTTCGTCCTTTTCGTCGATCTGTCCAAAGCTTTCGATTATGCTATCCGTGAAGTTGTGATGGGCTGGATGCCCGACGCGTCGTCCGCCTCCCTCGAGGAGAAGAGGGCACTGCTTGAGAAGCTCGGCGTTCCTGAGCGTGCATCCCATCACCTCGCGGAGTGGATTGACAAGACCGGCGGGCTCCTTGCCTTAAGCGGTGCTGACCCAGCCGTGTGCGAGCTCGTCACGTCCCTTCATCATGGAGCATGGTTCCGCCTCCCCAGAGACGAACCGTACGTTGTTAGCGTATCAGGGGCTCGCCAGGGATGCAAATTGGGGGCCTTGGTATTCAATATGATATATAGCCTCGCCCTTCTCATGCTCAAACAAGAGCTGCTCGACCTCGGCATCATCCTGTGGGTCACGAATGCGCCGTCCTCCGCGTTTTGGGGCACGCAGACTACCACGACCAGCTGCGCTGCTGACGAGCGGTTGTCTCCGGTCTTCGAGGTCACGTACGTTGACGACGAGTGCATTTTCTTGGCCGCCTCGAGTGCGCGAGCCATGATGCTGGCCATTCCTAAGTTGATGAGTTGCTTGTGTACTGCTTTCTAATACTTTGGCTTCCATATTAACTGGAAGCCAGGCAAAACGGAGAGCTTCGTCATCTTACGAGGCCAACGGTCCGTGCAACACATGCAACACATTCGGGATAACAACATGACAATCAGACTTGCCGGTTCCGCCATTGCCCTACGCGTTGTCTCGGAGTATAAGCACCTTGGGTCTTTGATATCTCGAGACGGCAATCTGGTCCCCGATGCCGTCCACAGGTCGTGTACGGCGATGGCATCCTACTGCCCGCTCTATGCCAAGATCTTCTCTTGCAGACGCATTGCCCGGCAGGTGCGGATTCGACTCTTTATGTCCTTGGTCGTGTCCAGGCTGATATATATATATATATATATATATATAACGTGCATGTGTGGAGCCACATGCCCAGGAAAGCGTACGCCAAACTGAATGCAGTGTACATGCGCGGCCTCAGGCGCATTGCGGACGCCGCGAGATTCCGAGCTACAGGCCATGGTAGCGACTTGAGTGTGAGGCAGGCGCTGGACTTACCTAGCCTACAGTGCCTCATCACGCAGCGTCGTCTTCTTCTCCTCTCCTCGCTCCTGAGGTTCGCCCCCCCCACCCCCACCCCACCTCCTCTCCCTCCTCTCCGTCCCAGCTGGTGCGGCTGGAACGAAGCTGCCATGGGTGCAGCTCGTGCTTCGCGATCTCGAACGTTCTATATGTTTCACATGACGAAAGTACAGGAATTAGGCCCGCCCTCGGAACACCCCGAGAGATGGGAGACATTCATCATCCGCTTTCCCAGTCAGTGGAAATTCTTGATACAGCGATTGCACCTTCTTGAGATGTAGTTTGATTCGCCTGGTGAGCAAACTTCCCTGCCTGCCCCACTCGCTCGTTTTACCTGCCCCACTTGCTCGTCCCACTTCCCCTCCGAGCAGGCCCTTGCCTCTCATCGGAGAGCAAAGCACGGTGAACGCACGCCCTTCCAAGCGTTCCTCCCGGCCTCTGGGGTGTGCCCGGTTTGCCGACTCAGGTTTTCTTCCCGGCCACGCCTGCTGGCTCATGCCATTGAGACCCGGAGGCGCGGCAGGCGCAAGACATTGTGTAGTGATTTCTTCCAGGCTGGCCTGGTTGCTCCGTTACCTCAGGCCGAGATCGACGCAGCCAATCGTGCCGACCGCCTCTTGAGAGGCGAGGCCCAAAAACGAGGCCTGACACAGCCGCGCTCGACCTATCCTGTACCGTGTCGTCGACCGTCCCCCCTCATACATCATCGCCAGAAACTGGTTTTTCTTATCTGGAAAATGTCCCCCCTCCGCCCAACGCGGTGGCGGGGAGGCCATCCGGCCCCCGAAGCGGCTGCGCACAAAGGTGTCGCTTGACGAAGTGGCGCTTGCTCAGGCCTAGCCTCCGCTAGCCCCACGTCTGCATGCATTTGAATTTATATGTCTGCACAGGTTTTCGGCCTAGCTTGAAGGGAAAACGCAAAAAACTAGGCTAGTTCACGCAATGGTGCGTTGTGCTATGCTGTGTTCTGCATGATCCCTTCCATCATACAACGCTTGTATGTGTCTAAAGCAGACGAAACCAATGCATATATCCAAAGCAACTCTCTTGTCTGAGCTCGTCGGCGGCCCTGCTTGTGATTTGTTTTTTTTATGGGGGGACCTGCGACACCACGGCCAGGGGGGGCTGAGACTTGGCGCGAGCTTCGTAGCAATTATGTGGTGCAACATCTATGTCACTGTTAAACAATATATGTGTGTCCGGCAAGGTGGTGTGCAAGCTACATGGTGCAATATATGCTAAACAATCCGTGTGGTGTTTGATATGCGGCGCGACCTCTGTTCGGCAATCGCTCTCGTTGGCGATATGCGGTGGCATCTATACAGTGTGAGCTACGTCACCACCCAGCCTGGTGCAAGGAGTTGAATAGAATAGCCCCAAAACACACAAGCACGTCTACACGATAACAAGCTGTGCGCAGAAACTCCACAACACTGATGCTGTCTCGCGCTTCCTGCAACAAGCTGTGGCATCAACATTGGCATGAATGGCTTTCCCCCATCCCCCTTCGTGTGTTAGCCGTTGTGGCCCAAAGCTTGCGCATCCATCCTACACCCATGCTTCGGCACTCTGTTTGGAAGATTATGTCCACAACGGTGTTGCCGAGCCCAGATCGCTCGCCGTCTGTGGAGCGCCCGCAGCAGCACGACCGCGGACCACCAGCACAGCAGCCACAGCCGCTGATCGTTGGCCAGCCCACCAGGGCCGCTTTCGAGGATCAGGGTTTAAGCGAACTCAGTTTGATCGGAATAGACGGGACCGTCAAAGACATAAGCAAGGGTCTTGTTCAGTCTGTCGCCAGCCTACCCGCGGGATTGATTGAGGCATACCCGCCAGAGTACGCTACATCTGTCCAAGTCTGCTACTTGTTCGGCCAGGCGTAACCGCCAATGCTGTTGGATATATTTGGGAAGGCGTCCGTCGAGTGAATGTATAGAAAGGAGCATATTCACGCGGTGCACTTCTTTCCGCCTCGACGCGAGGACGAGGAGCAGATTCCTGTGGAGCTAAGGGGCCTTGACCTGAATCAACCCCTTCTTCCTCTGCGTCTCGACGCACCTGGTTGGCAGCCCGTGTTCATATACCTATACGACCACCCTTCGGGTGCTAAGGAGGTTGTGGGGGGGAGAGGGGGGAAACCAACCACCACGGGACACCGCAGGACACTTGTCGATCTCACGATCGATCTCACTATCGATCTCAGTCAACGGGACACCACGGGACACCACGGGACACCGCGGGACACCTCTCGATCTCACTATCGGTCTCAATAGCGATCTCACGATCAATCTCACTCAAAGGGGCCCCATAGGACGCCGCGGGACACTGCGGGACACCTCGGGACACCACATCGATCTCACTATTGATTTCACTATTGATCTCACTATTGATCTCACTGTCGATCGCACTATCGATCTCACTCAACGGGACGCCACGGGACACCACGGGACACCACGGGACACCACGGGACACCGCGGGACACCGCGGGACACCGCCAGACGGACGGACGGACGGGCGGGCGGGGGAGAATCATTTGTCTTGACTTCGCCCTAGCAACGGCGGACACCAGGGGACACCACGGGACACCGCGGAACACTGCGAGCCACCGCAGGACGGGCGGGCGGAGGAGAATCATTTATCTTGACTTCGCCCTGGCAACGGTGGACACCATGGGACAACATGGGACACCACGGGACACCACGAGACACCGCGGGACACCGCGGGACACCGCGAGCCACCGCCGGTTGCGGTGGAGAATCATGTGTCTTGAGTTCGCCCTAGCAACGGCGGGTGCATCCCTCTCGCGCGCCCGCGTAGCTTCGCCTCGCCCGCACGCACGACACGAGCGAAACGAAACGATTTTCCCGTTGGGGGTCTCCGTTCTGCGACCTTACCTCCCAACCTCCGACATTCCTGCGTGGCACCCGAGGAACTGATGATGGCCAGTCTCCGTGAGTTCGGCCAGCTTTCCTGCATTCATGCTTCTGGTGGTCTCCCTGTGTTCGGACAGCTTACCTCTGTGCATACTTATGATGCTTGTGTTCGGCCAACGGCCAATCTTCCATTGTAAAGCTTCCTCCCGTGTTTTGCTGTCGCAAGCCTTCCGCATTGAGTTTTGGTGTGATGAAGCAGCAGGGCTGTCCAGTGGCTGGTGTGCGCCTTCGCCGCGTGCGCACGCAGCCACGTTGTGGACAAGGGCGCAAGCACTGATTGGGTGAACGAGTCCCACGTCATAAGCGCAAGCACTGTTTGGGGAAACCGACCGAAGTGCAAGCACTGGTTGGGGAAATTTGCCCAAGTGCAAGTATTGTTTGGGGAATGGGGCCTAAATGCAAGCACTGTTTGGGAATGAAGTTTGAGTGTCGGTCAGCGTGTGCTGAGGCTTGGTGGGCGAATACCCTCTATAGACTCGATTGGAGACGTGTGTGTCTCGGCCTCGCTGCAGTACCCTGACATTGTTGAGGCGTGCTCTAAGGAGGAGTTTGGGGAATGAGGCCAAAGTGCAAAAACTGGTTGGGGATTCATGCCTACTTGCAAGCACTGTTTGGGGAAGGAGGCCCAAGTATGCCTAAGTGCAAGCATTGTTTGGGGGATGAGGCCGAAGTGCTAGGAGGCCGAAGTGCAAACACTGTTTGGGGAGTGAGGCCTAGCAAGCACTGCTTGGGGAATGCGGTTGCGTCCCTTGTCGTCGTCCACATGCTTGCTCATCCCACCCGCCCACCCCGCGGCAGTGTGTGCTGCAGCTTGGTGGGTAAATGTCCTCAGCTGGGGACGTGTGTGTCTTGGCCTCGCAGCATTACCTTGGCAGTGTTGAGCCGCGCTCGAGGAGCTTGGGGAATGATGCGTAGGTAAGCAGCGCGAGCACTGGTTGGGGAATGGGGCTTCAGCGCAAAGCCCTGAATTGGGGATGAGGCCGAAGTGCAAGCACTGTTTGGGGGACGATGCCTAAGTGCAAGCACTGCTTGGGGAGTGATGTGCAAGCGCTGCTTTGAGAACGAGGCCGAAGTGCCTAAATGCAAACACTGCTTGGCACACGGCCTGGGCTGCAGCAGCCGACGTGCAATCGTTGGTTGGGGGATGCTGGCTGTTGTGCCTGTGAAGTTTTGTGGGGTTCGTGGCGCCCTGGGGCCTGTGCGTCTTGTGTGACCTGTGGGGCCTGAGGCATGCGGAGCCGTGGGGCTGTCAAGGCCCGTGGTGCCTGTTGGGCTTGGTGGGGCTTGTGTGGGCTGTCAATGTGAGGCATACTGGGCCTGTGTGGGCCTCTGGGGGGGAGGCGTGTGGGCATGTGGGGCGTGTGCGGCCAGCGTCGCGCGACTTGCGGGGCCTGGGGCGGGTTCTGCAAACCAAACACTTGTGGAAGCCATGGGGCTTGTAAGAACCGTGCGGTCTATGGGACTTGTGCGTTGATCCACCCGTCGATCCATCAATTCACATGATCATACAAGGGCACTCCCGCCAACGCACCC